ATGTTAAAAAGTCTAGTCTATCAGGTGCATTGTTTTCGAGGCTATTGTTTTGCTAATTTCTTGAAACCGTGGACCAGTGGACAAAACATTGGCATATCCAAGACATCAAGTCAAGCCGGGTTGAGGAGGATTAGTACCTGGATGGGTGACCTGTAACTTATACCTACTCAAATTTTATTTCAATTTTTTTTCTTCTTTTTTTCCCTTTCTTTTTCGTTTTAAAACATAATTAAACGCATGCTCTACTATGCGTCACAGGCGCGTGCGCTCTAACCTAAAAAAAAGAAGAAACGGAAAATTATATATACTTCGGGCATTCTACAAGCAGTCCAAGTAAAAACACGATAAAGCGCATACTATCCAATCACAGCACTTATCAAGGAACTAAAGCCATACTTATAGCAAGAGCTATGCTGGACGGTAGGGGTGCCAATTGTGTATTTTTATCTCTGTCTGATTTCAGTACTAAATATAGTAAAACAGTAGGAGATAACTATATTCTTTTTTCTAATAAAGGAGTGGTTATATATAAGCAATTATTGGGTAACTGAAGATTTTTGTAGTCAAAATATGTGGGCAAATACCTGAATATTTAGGTCGGGTAAGGTATAAAGGTAGTTTATTCTTAACCATAGAGTGATGTTTGTCCCGTGAGACCAACCATATAGAAGATATAAGATATAAATAATCATGAAGATTGCAGACATCGTGAATTAAGGTTCAAGAAATTCAATGAATTACATTGAAGGCTAAGAAAAAATAATAAACTCACGTCTCGTGATTTAAAACGACTTAAATTTCATAGTTTCTTTTTCTCAGCCTGGTTTCATTTTGTTCTTAATTTTTGGCCTTGAATAAATGTCATCCATTAATCTGATTTTCTATCCTCTATCTTAACTTTTACAATACTGAATTGTCACCGACTTATAAGTCTTGAATATTAATGTGAATGGTCTGACTTGTTCCTCAGAATTAAATTGCGAATAAACCCTGCAAGCATAGAAAGCTTTATATTCAAGAACTTAGAATAACATTTCAACCCGTATTTACTAACATTCTGGTTTAAAAGAAATACACTAAGCTCTTATATCTACCTTTTTTCGCGGGTAATTCCTCTAAAATTCCAATTCTCGCTGTTATTCCAAACTCACAATTCGAAATTCCCCATTAACGTCGCGAGTATAACGACTATACTGTCGCAGAAATTTTGAATTCAAAGCCGCGCCCAAAAACAAAATATTCCGGACCAAATATTTTAAACTCTGGATCGTGATTGGCTACTTGGTGTTACTGCTCTCTGATTGGCTAGCACCGTATACCATTCAAAAACATCTGGTTAAGAAAAAACACGGTACATTGAGTCGAATTGTTTTAGGAATAATCATTATATAAGTCAGAATTGACACTCATCTTCAAAAAAATTTGGTTTAGTCTGGAAGTTGATTTTCAACTGGGGTCGTATTTGTTCAAACGTTAGACAGAAGAGCACTCTTATCGTAAAGCTTTTCAAAACAAGTGAGGACTATTGACAGCCCTTCTCATTCTCATCCACTAAAAATGCTTGTCTCAACAGCCGTCAGTTGGGTTCCAGAATAATTCCAATACTAAATATGGTTATAAACATAGTTTCCAACATTTTTTCATTATATCTAATTTTTTATTCAAATTTTTAGTTCGCGATAGTAAGATATGAAATTTAAACCCTTTTTACACAAAAGGTTTAAATTAAGCTATTGAGAGATAAACATGATGAAATATAGATTATGGTTGGGTTAGTGCAAGCATTACTAGCCGGTTAGATTGAGCAGTGTTTCTTAGTTCAAAGTCATCAAAATTATTAATGCATGTGGAATGAAAAGCTATCCAGACAGAAGCGACAACTCTTGCCAAGATGATAAATTTTGGTTGAAATCCAAGCTTAATCTRAAGGGTTATGCAAACTGGCGACTCGCTGGTTTTAATCAAGGAAGTGCTACAGCAAAAACCACTTTGAAAGAAATCATTATTAAAAGTAGCCCTTGCTTAATGTCAGATATAAAGAAGAAGCTAAAATATAATTGTATATTTTCTGTCTAATTTTGTATTTGAAAACACAAGACTAGATGTTTAGGGTTTCTTTCTCTAAAAGCCAAATTAAACGTCAATTAAGCTCGTTTATTTTGAGGGCTTTTTTAGTCTACTAAAATAATCCAATTCACTTCTTTTGTGCTGTACAGTAATTTTTCACAGTTTTTGGATTATAGCAAAACGAGGAATCCATTGACATCTGCGAGCGATTGCACTTTTTCATTAACAGAAAAACTTTTTTTTTATTTTTTCGACCTTTTAGGGTCGAGTTTGTGCTTTGCTAACTCATATTGTACCTTTGTCCCTGTATGTTTGTGAAGCTAGTCAGTACCAATAAAATCAGTTAAATGGTGTTTTAGTTTCTTTATTTTGCATTTGTACCACTATGCTTTACTATGTTGTATTTACGTTTTAATAAACATGTCAAACCAAGGTAAGAAATCCTTTTTCATGGTGTGAAACTAGTAATTAAATCATAAAATGATTTCACTAGAAAAACCAGAAGAATCTGCAGTATTTTTCACTTATTACTTTCAGATAAATAAATAAATATAACATCATTATTCTTGAATARATAATATAAGCAAATAAAAGTGAAAAATCAGCAGAATCGTTGCTACTTTTGCATGTTATTCAAGTGAGCAAAATAATCTCAAAATTCTGTAAGTATTATTATCAGAGCTTGAATTAAATTTTTTAGCTACTGATAATTTAAACTAGGATTTTGTGTTACAAAATAATTTATAAATAATAAAAAAATAAACGATTAAAGCCACCTAGCTCACTTACATGTCAGAAGGATATTGTAAATACATTTTAAAAATTAACAATTCCTAAACGTAATCAACATATAAAGGTAAAGTTCAAAATTAATATTTTTAACAATTTTTCAAATTTCTATTTTTGTTATTTCTTATGCCTAATAGTAAAAACATCTTACAATTCTTGCTATATTTGAACAGCTTTTACCGGGAAAAAATAATCTATTTTTTGCATTATATTATATTTATTATTGCCTATTTTTTGCCTAGTTTAAAGCAGAAGTTATTTTTCAAAATATACGTCCATAATTGTGGAAGCTATTCCAGTCAGTCTTCCCAAGAGCTGACGAATTTCCTCAATAAAAGTAGCTTTGTACGCCACATCGTCGTGAATAATCTTGGAGAGCTGTTTTTTAAGCATTTCTAACCCTTCGTAGACTTGCTGGAAGCATGGTACGTCTGCCGTTACTAAATTCTGCATTCGGAAATAGAAATCTCCATGGATATCGTTTAGTAAACGACTGATCTGTGAAGAGATTTCTTTGACATTTCTAACATAGGGAACACCTTGGTTATTTCGTGGAACTTTATCAAAATCATTCGCCCAGCCTTTTATACAAGTGATCAGGAACTCTAAATCTTGCTGCTGTTTTGCAAGCGAGCTTTCAAGCTTCGTTAGCTCCTGTATTCTTGAGGTGAGCTCGTTCTTTCGATCTATCACTCTTTTGAAAGACATTTTCTTTTCGTTAATGCTTTCGAGGGCACTCAACAAGACTGGAGGATCCATTTTGGGTCTGGAAGTAAAATCACAACTGTATAAGTCGATAAATAAGAATTTTATATGTTGAAATAGGAGAGCTGAGGGATTTGAAGAAGAACAAGAAAAATGTAGGGAATGCAATCACGTGACTTACTTTGTATTACACTTTTTGAGCATATAAACGTATAGCAAAAAAATGCACTTCTTGTAGAAACAAAATTGTATTTTTTAAACTCAAAGCCGGTAAAAAACAGCCTTGAAATATTGATAACTGAATTTCTAATTGTCTGGCCTTAGATTTGCTCTGATGTTGAATTAGACTTAATCATCCAGTGACAGTCTACGCTCGCTGAGAAAAGCGCTCGTCATTAAATATTCAAGTAAGTTATTACGCGAAACGTAGCTGGTTCGGCCTTGAAACTTTTGACACTAGCAAGATATGGATATTCAAATGTCCTGTGGTTAATAAATAGGGGAGTCTATTCTTGGTAGAAATTAAATAAATGCGGGAAAAAAGATATAATTTTTGTATTGTCTTATTAATAGAAGCAGGCAAGAAATATCTTGTATGTACTTCTTTTAATACAAAAAAAGATTGACAATTTTTAAAATAAATCCAACTCATATCTGAGAACGTTTTAGCTTTTATTTTTTAAAAGCTAAATTTGATTGCAAAAATTCAAATACAAATTAAAGGAAAAGAATTACGAGAAATATTCTGCCCAAAATGTTAAGTTGAATGAGTAAATAAATTACAATTTGTCATTTGCACAAGAAGGAATAATCTTAGAGCCTCTACTCTGCTACGACAGGTTTGTGTTACACGAATAACTTGTAAAATGATAGCACGATGTTGTTAAATTTAATGAACTATTAACTTAGATTCTAAAAATATTGTTGGTACACCCAAGTTAGTCGTTTTTACACGAGGTATGACATGAAAAAAGGTTTCCTTTCGCGTGATTCAAACGCATCCACGCTCAGATATAATGTCAACTGTCTACAATACGTTATGCCTAACATTTTAAGCAAAATTTTCTCTCTAAAGGACAAATAATATAAGGCTTTTACTTACTCTTGAGGGATTTAGAGGCGTTGTCCTTGAAAAATCAAAATATAACCAGTCCTTCCACTGCACACTTCAACCCAAAGAGATGAAYTTCAAATACAATATATAAAATAGCAATGTCCAGCTGCTGATGGAGCCCTGGGGCGAGGGACAACAACGACACTCCCTTTTGTGTATATTAGCATATACACCTATTCGTTAATAAATCAAGAGATTTTTCTTACAAAATTGAGGTATTTCACAGGAATGCGTCAGCTTGGAGTAAATCCCCTTATCTCAAAGCATCGTCATTTTTAAAAAAATTATTCACAATTTCGCAACCAAGAATGAAGAATTTGATCTGAAAAGCATTTTATTATTAGTGAAGTTCCGCCTATAAAGTCTTATTGGTATGATTTCTAAATTGTATTTATAAATGAAAAAATGCCTTCCTAAATGAAACCGAGTTCCGAAATATCTCGAAAACGTCAAATACAATTGACGTTCCAAAAAAATTTTTTTTCAGTTTTACGCTGAATTTTTGCAAATTATTTAGTTTTAAATTATTTTCCAAGAAAAATAAAATTTACAATTTTAAACCCGAGAATGAGGATTATTTTTATCCTTCGATAGATATTCATCTCAACCACAAAATCTTTCTTAAGCTGAGAATTCTCCATCAAAAAGCTATGACAATTAAGAAAAATATCTAGAACAAATAAACTTTCATTGGTTCTTTTAATAAAGATGAATCATTGAGAACTGGGTATTTGTGAAGTGACGTTTAGGAAGTCGCAGCGACTTCTTTATGTCGTTTTTTAACGAAATTGTATTCATTACCATAGATGGGGATCAATGAACATTTGAATTAGAGTCCGCTTGAGTCATGAATAAAACATGTCTGCTCTAATCTTCGAGCTCAACCCAGACAAAACACTCCAAGTGGGGTGTTGTCTAACTATATTCAACTACATTTCCCAGCTACAAGAGCTTCTATATTATCTAGGTTCCAAGAATTCTCCCAAAAAATTCTGGTGAGTGAATTATATGATTTAACTGTCTTAACCTTAAATTACTTGCAAAAATAAATAGCGTAAAGAAATAATTTTAGCGCGTTTTATAGCGATATTTACAAGATGCTGCTTCGTCAAGTTTTGATGAACGTTCATGCAGTGTCTTCAAATATAATATTTTTTCTAATTTTTGCATCGATTTAACAGTGAAAGGGAAAAGGAATTTAATGGTGCATTTTTTAATTCTTAAAAGAAAAATATTTCACAGTTCCCTCGTTTGAAAACCAAACTGATTTTTAACTTTGCTTTTATTTTGCTGTATTTTTTGCGGCATAAACTGAAAATGAACTATAAAGATTGGTAAATTGGTTCATATCATATAAGTAAAGTTTCACAAACCAAAGCTAGATCGTTTGATATATTTTGATTCGATCATTTCATTTTTTTTTGAAAGCTTCAAATTTTCAAATTTTCCTTTCCAATTTCCTTTCCTTTTTTATTTTTGCTTATAGTAGTACTGAGATACAATAACATTATCGTCATATTTTTTTTGGCAAAAGCATAGTGTCCTATTAAAGATGTTCAATTATGCAAGAAAACTGTTCTTTTAAGGTGTTATGTAAATTCTTCTCAGCTCTTCATTCGTTCGCCTTTTTATTTCCGATTGCCTTTAATCATTTTTTCAAAAAAAACATTTAGTCTAAAATTCATATTAGAAGTTCAAAATCTCTTCTAAATTTACAAAAAGTCTTACACAATAGCTTCATAAAAAAATGTATATAAAATATTTGTAAAGATTTTTTTCGGTAGAGGAAAAGAGGTTAATGGAGAATGCAGCTCAAGTACTTACTCAAGAAAGAGAGTAGGCTTACTAAGCCATCATAGTATCAAAACAATTTCGCTCGATGTTAAAATGTTCATGTATTTCCAAATATGGTGTTAAGGGTGGCTATGTTTTGGTATACTATAGAAATAGCCCTGGGGGTGAGTCCAACTGTCTCGCTTAGTATCGTCAGCTGAACGAACTAAAAAATTTTCAATGGATTACGAAAGGTTATAATATTATAATTACTGTCGTAATAGACCTCATTACTCTTGGACGTAATGTTTTCTCGTTATTCTCAAAAGACAAAGAGAATGATACGTGGTCTCTGAAATGGGAAAATATTGAGCCCGAAGGTAAAGAGGTGTATAATTATAATTGGCTAACACCCTTAATTTCTGTATTTGGTAATTCATATTTTTATAAGTTTGCAGAAACAGAGCGAAATCATCCCTCCCTCCCCTCCCACAGGAAACATTTACGTATATAGCGATTGAACTTCTAACTGTCCAATGGGTCGGCCGATTCTCAGGCACCCCAGGACACAGGCAAATAGATACACTAGAGGAGAGGAGAGGAGAGGAGAGGAGAGGAGAGGAGAGGAGANAGGAGAGGAGAGGAGAGGAGAGGAGAGGAGAGGAGAGGAAAGGAGAGGAGAGGAGAGGAGAGGAGCTTATTGAAACTTGTCATCTCCAAACTAGTTCACTCTTGTTTGTTTTCAAGCAGATTAAAACTGCCAATGTCCGGAGCAGCAGAGCAATCCTTGTCACCATGCTACCGTCTGACACCAACGACTGAGGGAGGCCTGGAATCTAGTACATCCATGTCCATGAAGATGATTGAAACTCGCAAAAATGGACTACAAAAGATAGTCAGTGGGTTAGAGAGGCGCGTCGTTCCTTTACAACGCCAAAAAGAGGATTTGCAGTTAGTATTGAACACAGTTAACAACTGGGTCCAGGTACTAAATGACACACAACGATGGAACAGTGGCGTCCCAATCCTCCGCTCGGCCAAAGAGAACTGCGACGACTTGATAACACCGTATCTAAACGATAGTGACAGCGACTTCAACCAGGCAGTTTTTAGATTAGGTAGCGCTGAGATTCCCGGCTTTGCGCAAGCGCAGAAGCTCCTGAAATCCATTCGTCACGAGATAAGAGTGATTTTCGAGAAAGAAAGTACGTTCAATGGAAAGTTTGTGGAAGACGTTCGTGTTTTAATGGGGCAAGTTACAGGCATCATTAGTGCTATTCTAGGCCTCTACTATCAGACAAACAATTAATCATGACAAAATAGGAAGACTTTTTACCGCATAATTTTCGTTCTCAGCGGAGACCAGAAGGAACGCTGGCTCATAGGACAAGGAAACCGGAACCGGAAATAGGAAAGACGGGTTATTTTAAAAATTAAAATTAGAATAATTAAAATGTAAATTCAAAGAATTAAAGTTTGTTTTTCAGAATGATTCCGAAATGAGAGTACACAAATTGAATATCATTTCGATAACTACATAAAATATACCCTCCTCAGACCTTTCCCACCCCTTGGAAATTCCAGTCCCCCTCCATGGGGGAGGTATGGATATTTCCTAGTACTACACGATATACCCTCTCAAACCCTCCTCAGACCCTTCCCACCCCTTGGAAATTCCAATACCCCTTTCAGCAGGGGAGGTATGGATATTTTCTAAAACTACTCAATATATCCTCCTCAGACCCTCCCCACCAGCTTGGAAATTCCAATTCCAAAAGCATGCGTTGATCAAAGTGTTGAAACACAAAGAGAAAATAGGCAAAGTACAATGTTTTAGCTTACTTGCAAAATTATGATGAAAAGTAAAATGAAACCGCTTGGTCATGTCATCCAAGTTCCTGCAGTTTAATAACATGCTGTAATCACTCACACATACAAGTCAATCATTCACTTTGGAATGCGGTTCAACTTAGATGTTCTCGGGATTTTGTTTTGGTGTTACACCACTTTTTATTGTTGCCCTTGTAATGCTGCTACTTCAAAGAACTTTAAGCACAGGTGTTTGTCTATAAAAATTAATAAGATGACAGCAAAAGTAACTAAAACAACTCTCAGTGGAATCGATCTTATGATGAATTATGTGCAACACCAGTGGAAATACCATGAAATTTAGATCAAAATAACTTACATCAGTTCAAAATCCAATTAGAACCGCCCGCAGCCGTACATCAAAATAATAATACAAAAAATATATCTCGAAAAACTAATATAATATAACCAACAAACAATGAATAAAGTGTTGTTTTATATGTTTTTCACGACTGACACATTTCTCATAATGAAGGCATCCATGTTGGATGGCAGTCTGTTTAAATGCATTCATTTTACAAGAGAAAAATAGTCTATAGTATGTAGACCTTTTTACCTTGGGCGTAATGTTTTTYGATTTCAAACCAAGTGTTATTTTCCCGTGAGAATAAGATTCTTTGTTTGAGTTGTATCCATCATGTGTTTTTTCATGCACAAACATTAAACAAAGAAATGATGCTGCTGGTAATGACATGTGGTCCAAAAAAGGAAAACATTGTGCCCAAGCGAAAAAGATCTATTGAGTTATTGAAAAAAAATCATCAATCATCCATTATATATTACTATTGCTATTTGCTGGAACTAGAAAACAGTACCAGATTAACTGAATAATTTAAGCCAAATCTACCAGTGTTTCTCAAAACAGAAGAAGACTTTGGACACATAAATATTTTTTTTATGAGTAACCAAGTTTTTAGTCCAGGCCACTTCTTGGGGCGTGTCTGTTGACTGGGCGGCTTCGTACATGGACCCTCCTTGTGTTGTCATCTTTATCATGGTGCTTTTCTCTTTCTCTTTCTCTTTCCACTCTGTCCCGGCGGTGCTCAAGTCTTCTCTGACTTGACTCTGATAGACAAAATATTTGAAGTATTTGTTTGAGTGCTCATTGTTTGTTTTGATTGACTATTCCATTAATGATTAATACTCCCTTTTTCCCTTCCTACCTAGAAAAAAAGCTTCAAAAAAACCCCCAAAAACTTACTTTTATCCCATACCACTGAAAGTACAGCCAATCAGAATGCAGGAAATCTGTTGTATATTGCATTGTATCCCACTGTTTCTTCCCATCAGGCATTGCAGTCTAGGTCAGTGTACTTTCGCTGGTGTGAGAAGAAATAGCTATATAGAGCTTTCTTGTGGCATGTCATGGAATATCCCACTTGTCACATGTATTTTCTTAGTAAACATGCTTGTGTGTACACTAGAAAATACAAGTGACTTGTGGGATATTAAATGGTATGCCACAAGAATGCATTGCATAACTTGTACCATATTACATACCTTCAATAGCTCTGTGTCTTGGTCGTTCTCTCTGCCTATTGCCCAGTRCGTGTGTTCTAGGTTTTGTTCGTTGTTCCCATTCTTGGTTAAATTTTCGCACATCCTCTGCAAATAAAAAAGAAAGTGAATGAAGTATAGAAAAATGACAAAAAGGGAGCTCTACTAACATGGTATAATCTAGCCTAATATGGAATATCCATTCCTTCAAATTCAAAAACCTTCAAATTTTATTGATACCCTGAAACAACCTCTGGGCTGATCTAAGTCAGGGCATGGCTAACTCACTGATCGATCCCAGAAACAACCTCTGGGCTGATCTAAGTCAGGGCATGGACAACTCACAGATCAAACCCTGAAACAACCTCTGGGCTGATCTAAGTCAGGGCATGGACAACTCACAGATAGAACCCTGAAACAACCTCTGGGCTGATCAAAGTCAGGGCATAGCTAACTCACTTATCAAATCCTAAAACAACCTCTGCAACAAACAAAGTCAGGGCATGGCTAACTCCCTGATCAAATCCTGAAACAACCTCTGGGCTGATCAAAGTTAGGGCATGGCTAACTCCCTGATCAAACCTTGAAACAACCTCTGGGCTGATCTAAGTCAGGGGATGGCTAACTCACAGATAGAACCCTGAAACAACCTCTGGGCTGATCAAAGTCAGGGTACTGCTAACTCAAAGACTGAAGTGGAATTTAATTTGTTGGGTTTTGCTGAGGGAGAAAAACGGGAGAACCCAGAGGAAAACCCTCAAATCAAGGGAGAGACCTAMAAACAACTCTTCTCACAAGTGTTGCTTCAGGGGTTTTTGAACCTGAGAACCCTGAGGTAAAAGGGGAGTGTATTACTATTCAAAATACACACCTTCATCCATGTTAATGAAGTCTTGCTTTCTCTCTTCTTCCCCAGTCCTTCTATTTAGTGAGCGTTCTATTACTCTGCCCCTGTCACCTGTAAGTGCACAATATTCATACTGGGATTGGTTTTCAGGTTGRCACCAACAAGAACTAATGATTGTAGAACAAGTAGTGTTCTTAAGACACAAAAACTATGGAGGCAGCATGGTCGAGTGGTCATAGCATCAGTCTCGCAATCCGGTGGTGCCGGGTTCGAGTCCTGCTGTGGCCACTAGCTGAGACTGTATTTGTYCTGATCACTGATTAGTTCAGATTCAGTTTCTCGACTATGCTCGTAAATATCCAACTGGTTTGCCTCCTTGCCAGTTGGGATTCTTAACACAATTTATGTTTCTTTGATCATTTCATTTCAGTTTATTAATTGTAGGAGGGCCATAATGGAAACTATACTGGGCTACCAGTAATGTTTGTCAGCCTCGTTAAGTAAAATCAATTTATTTATATATTTAAACTAAAAACTTTTTTAAATTTTCAAAGGTTATCCAGTGACCTTCAAATGTTAGGAAATGTCAAAGCATTTAATGAGAATGTCATGAGAATAAGAATGGACTACTACAATGATGTAGCAGCCATCTTGAATTTCAAGGCATTATGGGTTGCCCAGGGGACAAAAAAAAACACAAAGATGCTGAAATGACGACCCCACRATATTTGAGAAAATTCCTCAGTCGTGAAGCTGAGCATTCTATTAAACTCCTCTCTAGTCAAATTGTCTTGTTATGAGCAGTAAATGTCAATAGATTCCATTATCATAACAAAGCTGTTTGTCTCATGGATGACCCACAATGCCTTGTGATTCAAGATGGCTGCTGTATTGTCAAAGTAGTCTATTGTCCATGCAACTTACCAATGTGATGTCCAATGGCCATTCTATTAACCCCTGTCTCAGAGTCCCTCACAGCATGTTGGGTTTCTTTGATCTGTCAATATTGTAGAAAAGAATGGTCCTTAGAGCTATGTCGAAAAAACATTTTTAGGGTACTAGACCAGAAAAAATTAAGTACACATATCATAACCTACCCCACCAGGAGCCTTCTTTGTGGCTTTGTGAGCCTGGAAGTACTTAGGCTCTCCTCTGCCATCACTGGAATAGCTCATCACAGAGGACTGGGAATATGAGTAACTGTTTGGGTCGTTGGCTGCTCTTTCCTACGAAAATGTTGAAGATGATTAAAAGGTTGCAGATATATTTATTACTGTGTATGTATCTCTCATACATCAATAAAAAAGTAAAGTTAGTAGTAAAAATAGACCTTTCTAGYTTGGCKCATAATRTTTTCCMWTTTTTGACCAYRTGTCMTKCTCTTGATAATGAAATTCTTTGCTYGAGTYGTATCCATATTCAYGTGCCTTGATCAYGTGCAATAGTTAAACAAAGAAATGATACTATAGGGAATGACACATGGTCTTAAAGAAAAAACACTACTCCCAAGGTAAAGAGGTCTATTGATGGATGTTATGGGAGTGAACGTAAATACTTACAAACTGTTGTTCCATGTTTTGAAACATACTGGGAATGTTTGAAAACATTCCCCCAAACATATCCCTTGGAGCTAGATCCATTCTGTCTCTACTGCAATCCCTGCCACCTCTTTGATCGTGTCTATTGTCAGTCGCCCTGTTTCTATCTCTGTCACTTTCTTGYGGCCTTGGCAGGGCAAATGGATCCATGAAGGGAACAAAGGGTCGATCAAAACCGTTAAACATACCAAATGTCTGTCTCATCCTCTCATGATGATCCCTGCTAGGAAAAAGGAGTATGCATCAGTAGATATTACCAAAACTACTAAGGTAAAATTAATTTGGTGGGTCGTCATGACCGGCGACTGATTGGCCATATTTTTTAGCTCTGGGTAAGGCTACAGTATGGCTACAGATCTGCAGTATCTGACACCAAAAAGCTCAACACATGAATATATAGTAAGACAATGTGAAAAGGAAATCTTGCCAAAGGAAATGGGTCAGTTGACGACAGACAATTGTGCCGAGGTATTTATTCAATCATAATGAAGTGATTTAAGAGAATCAGGTGTTTTTATAATTAGATCCGCAAATTTTCATATAACTCTGGAAAACAAGGTTTGTTTTTGAATAATATCTAAGAGCGTGCTAATGAGAATGGCTGTATTAAAAACATCCATTCAAGACCCAGAGATTAAACACTGCTGAACTAGACCTAAACAAACATGTTTAGAGCTACGAAACAGAATTTGTGTTTGAAAATGTTTTATTATATTTAAAGACTCAAGGAACCAGAGTCAGAAAAGAGAAAAACATGGCGCAGAATGGAAAGGTCAAAATACGAAGACAACAACAACAACAAAAAGCTCAACTGTTCGTAAAATACCTGTTGAAAAAAAGAATTTCAACCAAAACCTTGAACATCTAATATCATATATCATTACTTATAAAAAGTTATAATGCATTTTTCAAGATATTTTACGCTAAAAACACAGCTGCTTTAGTAGTTTTCTTAGTTCTTTCATCGTAATTGTGGTCGAAAAAACACCCAAAATAACTCTACAAAATTCATCTTTGGGGCTAGACTTACCTRAAAAACGGGTCCTCTTCAAACTGACGAAAACCGTTCCCAAACATGACGATAATTCCCGTTATTTATCGTCCAAAAACCAAATAAACCTTATCTCAGTCTTCCTGTAACGCGAAACAATACAAACTTTGAATGATGTAAACGAGCGTGTGCCTGACGAGTRATTATCGATTCTCTGTATCCATAGTAACACTGGTATTACAATTGCCGAGTGCTATACGAAATGTTGACGAAGTTTGTTACTGCGATCGAAGTCTGTGGGCCGTACGAGTCTCCTTTCCTCATCATTTTTGGTTCTTTTTTCTTTAATTTCTTTAAAGCTAGTGTTTCTTACCTTATGTTAATCCCAAAGGCTTTCAATTTCAGCGATTCGAGCTTTTTGAATTCGCGTTAATTGCGCTTTTACTGTGTCGTTGCKTTCTCGATGAACTCGCGGATTATGGAATCGAGGGTGCGACGTCATTTATATAGGGCTATCAGAGAATGTTCTAGAAGGTTCCGGAACAACTATTTATAGACCAGATTGAATTCCACATTTGTTTTTACGACTTCTAAAAAGGCTTCGTGCAGTACTTCACGTATTGATCCAAATACAACATTTCATTGACGAATTACTGTAGTAGTTCAGAAAGATATGCGACTGCTTGGTATGGACTCTATGGAGTTCGGAGTTCCAGATTTCATTATTCTAGATATTGGACTTTGAACTTCAAAATTCTAGTTCTAGAAGCTTCKATAATTTTCTACAGTTTTGCAGAATTTTCTAGAACTTTCTATGTAGTGTTAGTCTTTCTATAGGGCTCTAGGACAGATTGGTGCATACCAAAAGTGCTTATCGTCTGTTTGTATCGAATAGAAAAGGAGTCCAGGACTAGATAAGTCTGTATTTTGAATTTTTCACAGTCATACATAATCAAGCTTTATGATTTTTCCATGCTAGTGTTGGTAGGAATTGAAAAAATGGCTTCCAAATGAGTTCCAAAGTGAAGCTTGCATGTTCAGTATTATGGAGGAAGCTACATCCCGGGCGGAGAAGGACCCCCATAAAATACAGTAAATGTATGTAAATTGGGCTGTGAGGGRCMCGTGAAAAGCACTCTACGCCCGYGTTATAGTTTTTTCCACRAAACATTCCATTCCATCACAAGTCAAGCTTGTTATTCTTTATCCTTGCAGATGGTCGTATCATGAAGCAATCGGAGACATTWTYAGTTATCTCYGYAATAGACATTTATATAAATTTCTGAAGTTAAATCGATGCTTAAACCTTACTAACTTTTTTTTTTTACGTAATAGGTTCGTTAAACCACAAAAAATGAAATTGGGTTTGTTTGGAGACATTTTTTCTCGCAAATAGACATTTATGTTTGAGGTTAAATCGATTAGCAATTCGTAAAATAGCAGTATGTAACCACAAACAATAARATTGAGTTTGTTTGGAACCAAGCGGTTTTTGAACACATTTACCGTCACTTGTACTGATTGAACGTATTTGAAGGTTCGACCAAACTATCGTATCTCAATCAACGCAGAAGTGCCGGCCAGTCTTTTTAATGAGTGTGAAAAAGCTACTCCCTCATAGTTTGTTCACATCCAGTGAAGCTCCTTTTCGACTCCTCAACCATATTAGCCATTACGTTTCTTTTTAACTATTTTATTTATTTATTGTTCTGCGTTGCATTGACCAAAACATATGACTTTTCGATTACGAAAAAGAAAAGTTTGAATCTTATAAAAGATTTCCTTTTAATTTGTTCTCTATCTCGATAATTGTAAAACACATCTGATCTTTATGTACAATCAAAAACAATTTAGGGGTTGATTGGAAGCTTGAGGTCCTTTCATTGGTTTTGAACTTCGAATTCATCAGGGCCGTAACCAGGGGAGAGCACAGGGTGCACTTGCACCCCCCATAAAAGCTTGAAGTCCGTTCATCTATCTCCTTTTGCTTTAAAATTGCATGTAAATGTTTTCTGATTAAATGAAGACCACTTTCTATCTGCATATTGTAGCATTTTAAAGAATCACTCACAAGTTATTCCTTTTTTTTTGTTTTTTGTTTTTTGTTTTTTTTTTGTTTGTTGGTTCTGCTACTTTTTGGTTACTTTTTTCCCCCTTGTTTTGGTTCTCCAAAGCATTGCCTGTGCATCTCCCCTGTAAGGTCCCTGGTTACGCCCCTGTTCGTGTTAGCAAAATAATTGGCACATGCCTTGAACTGAGAAATTTTAATGAGGCCAGTCCAGTCACAACCTGGTTCCTAAGTAACGATTGTATAAAATGGGTTGGGCTCCCTGTAGTATCATTACCTTCTTCGCACCACAGGTAACCCATACTTTTAAATAGTAAAAAAAAACCCGCATACTCTGGATATATGTTTTTGAACACACATAAATATCGCTACTCATGTTTTCTGTTTTCACTTGAATAGCATTGATGCGGGGATACTGCACAGAATATCCGTCCCTTTTGGAATAAAAACTTTCTTTTTACCCTTTGCGGTATCCATGGTAACCGTACGCCGCTCTATTTTCTGTTTAAAACTTGCTATAGTGGCAGGAAACAAGTGAGGAGATTTCCAACGTCTTTTTCGATTCCTTGTTTGATAAAAAAAGAGAAGAAAAGGGATGATAACATACAGAGTACCCCTTAAAGTATCAATCTCATAAAAGCCATAATTTTTCAATGATCTATCGAAATAACTGCGTAAAAGTACTTTTTCTAGTAATGTTAGACGTTTCAATATGGTTTCAAGTCGAAATAATGAAGAAATATTTTTTTCGATCCCACACTCCACCTCAGAAAAGTCCAATCCAACGAGTAAATCCAGTTCCTGATTTTCCACAATTTAGGATTTTGAGGTCAAAACTAACAAATTCTAAGAGAGCAAGTGAAATAGATATCAATGGTGTATTTTGTTTTGTTTTTGTCGTTAAAATAATGGTTTTACGAGCATCAAAAGTAACAACCCGCAAGCCACTTGAAAGCTTTTACTACACACTTCCCCCTCCCCCAAGGGACTTGGTATTTGTAGACTTAGGATTTGATCGATATATGGTAAGTTAGTCGTATTTCAGGGGCAAAGGCGAAGGGGTGGGGGGGGGGTGGTTGGAGGAAGGAGGGGGACACGTTCCCCCCCTCCCCCCTCTTTCGTGGCAAACAAAATGGCAGCCCAAAAGGGATGGAGAGGAAAGTATATATTGAGCAATTCGGGGACCACAATTCTCAGTCCATTTTTATTTCGCTAAACCAATTAAATTCGATAAATTAARAAAATGCTTTGATGGTAAAGCCATTTTAGTGTTGGCATATGCTGTTGCTCACGGTGGTTTTTGGATCACTGACAAATGGGTTTTACTCAGCTTAACCAATCCCATGCCGCAGCGTGAGAAATAATCTAAACCAATCATAGTGCGAGAAAACTATCATCATCCAATTGTATAACTTGGRTAGACAAGCCATTTCAAAGTTGCTATATATAGTGTCATTCACTGTCGTATTTCCATCGCACTTCAGTAAAGACGCACCTTGCGTTAAGATGTGGAGAGCAGCTGTCGTCTTACTAGTCTTTCTTGCTGCCTTTCCTCAAGGCAATGACGGACGGAAAAGAAAAAAAAATGGTAAGAAAAAAAAAAACTTTTACGAGTTTAATAAGAATTTGCTGGATAAAAAATGGCTTCCAACAGCTGATGATGGGTTTTTGGTTTTTCAGCTATTTTCTTTATTTCATTTTTATTTTTCACTTGCGATCTACTTACCAACTGTCGTGGTTATATATATATATTCATTTTGCAATCTTTACTGTTATTACTTTTCCACTTTTTATCCATATCTTTTATCCCCTGGCGGATCCAGGGGGGTCGAAGGGGTCCACGGAACCCCCCTTGAAGGTTTGATCTTTTAGATAATAGAAATATGTCTTATATGAATTTAGCTTAAAAGTATCCACAAAGATAATGTTGAACACGAAATGATAGATATTTGCTGCGATATTGTTTAATTTACCTTTAAGTTCCGTTACTAGATAATAAATTAGGTGATTAGAGCCAATTTTTTGGTCAAACATCGACTAAACAAAAGAGAATTATACACAGTTTAAGAAACGGAACCCCCCTTTGAAAAATCCTGGATCCGCCACTGCTTTCTACCGAAATCTTACTTGAATATATACGTTGCTGTTTTACGTGGAAATTATTCACGAAACTTTCTCACAACTTTACTGACTTTAAATCTACCCTTTTGAGCTACGTGTCTACATATAGTACTTAACTAATGAAATAAGAAAAAAAAGTTGGGAAATTAGCCTTGCTAAAGAAAAGCTAAAATAGAGTATACCATTTACCAAAGATTTTTATTTTTAAAGGCCACTTTCTGCGATACTAAAATCCATTAATCTAAAACTGTTTTTAAAACCTTTTTTTCCACCAAAAACGAACTTTCAATTTTAGCTGTAAAAGTCTTAATTGCCGCCTGTTTAAGTAACAAGTAATGCTGAAAAAACTATATTATCAAAGATGAATGAGGAATAAGACTAAATGGAGCCTTTGAACTAATGAATCTGTTAAGAAACTGAGTAATAGATACTAAATTATTTATCATTAAAGTGAATGTTTAGAAAGTATAAATAATAAATGTACTGCTTGTGAGATATTGAATAGTCTTTTCTTTCACTGTTTTTTTYTCTCTTAAAAAATATTATCAAGTTCCTGTGGACGAAGTCGACAAAAGCTTATTCAACATATATTTTTGGGCTGTTTTGAAACGTAACGTTTGAAAGTAAAAAAGATATAATGATAAAAGAAGTCAGAGTGAAAAGAAGAACGTTTTGGCGATTGAGCTATGCTGTAAAAAAAATGCATTATTGATGATAAATATACATATAAAATATAAGCAAAGAAAGAAAGAAAGAAAGAATTGCCTCACTAATAACCGCTGTTACACATTAATATGCGTTGATAGAAGTTAATAGCTAAATTGTTTCAGTTGTAAGTTGTTTCACGGGTTTATAAAAATCACTCTATGTATTTATATATTTAGATGTTGCACTCTTTCGGATTCATTCGAATTGTAATAATGATAGATCGAATTCACTCAGGAATCGTGATAATGAKTTCCGTGTCTTAGAACGTAATGACGGTTTCAATCATTAATGTAATTAACATAAAAAATTATTTCAGATGCTTTTCCTAACTGCGGAAACAGGTATCAAAGTAATGAAATCTTCCAAAATGATCAAAAACGCATCGTCGGWGGACATACGAGTATCCAAGGTTCATGGCCTTGGCAGGTGGCRCTGGTCATCAAAGGAGCACAATATTGTGGGGGCTCGCTCATCAACCCAGAATGGGTGGCAACGGCTGCGCAYTGYTTTCATGGTAAGTRTGTACTGAGAATATTGAATYAAACTCTAGGTWTGACGTCACTGTGGCCGAGATCGACTGACTAACTGATGGACTAACTGACCGACCGACCGAACAAACTCCTTACTCTCATTTATTCTTATTTTTTTCGCCAGCAAACCGAACTAAAAATTTCACCAAGGCTAAGGAGTGGACCGTTATTCTAGGTGAACACAAGCTGTTGGAAAAAGAAACGTTTGAGCAGTCAAGAAAAGTGGAAAAACTCATCATCCATCCCGACTACGAGCTCTTATTTTTYGTAGGAATCTACGATGTGCCACCGGATTATGATATAGGTATCAAAAAATATTCGTTCTGCTTTCGATTCGTCAATCCAGTCATTCATTCATATGTCGGTCATTCCCTCAAATATTTCGCTTAAATATATATTCCCTTAAATATTTCGTTCATTAATTTGTTCATCCATTCAYTCGCTCATTYAGTCATTTGTTTATCTAATCAATCATCCATTTTATTCCATATAGTTAATGCTTCTTAATAAAAATAATTTTAGATTTAGCAATTCCATGCGACTCTCTTACACACCCGCGCGCGCTTTTATCCTCGATATTCAGTAAATCCGGCTCTGGCTTCATTAAAAGTCAAACTTGTTTTTATATTTTAGCACTCCTAAAGCTTTCTAGACCGGCYAGGATTGACAGGTTTGTCTACCCGATATGCCTTCTCCGTCCAGGACTTAGTTTTCCCGCGGGTMAAGAGTGTTTTGTGACCGGATGGGGCCACACCCGGTTCAACGGGACTCAACCCGAAGCACTAAACGAAGCCAAGGTCCAGCTGGTGTCGCTCGATAAATGCAACAAGAATGAGTCTTACGCGGGAAAAATTCACGGMCGCGCGTTGTGCGCGGGGTTCGAGAAGGGTGGAGTTGACTCCTGCCAGTATGATAGTGGAGGACCACTGGCCTGTCAATACCACGGGCGCTATTATCTTACGGGRATCGTGTCCTGGGGTCATGAATGTGCCAGGCCTCTTAAGTATGGGGTGTACGCTGACATGAGAGTGATGACACCTTGGATCTTGAAGACCATTTCGAGAGATACTTTAATAATGTAATCCTCAAGTTCCTCAAAACAGAGTAGAGTTTTTTCTCTCGTCTTGGAGGAGCGTGCCGCTTCGAACTTGTTCCCACTCCCCGCGCGTCCAAGACGGGGGAAAATTAAYCGATTTTTCTGAGTTTTGAGGGAACTTCCTACCCTCAAAAATAATCAAATCTATGCTATGTAATTAAGGTAATAACGAGAAAATAAACTTCGAAGCATGAATCACCTGATGTGTATGTCTTAATCTATTTCTGCTACAGATACGACATTATCTATTAAAAAACATTGTCTACAAAAAACAAAAAAATCGGTACGATTCCTTTCAGTTTATTCCTTATTTCACATCATTGGCTGGAAGAAACTGTCCAATCAAAATAAAAACATATGAATAAATTAAAAGGAGTGAACGATTGTTTAGAAACTATTATCTGTACTACATTTCAGGCATCCCAGCCACTTTTTAGACAAATTTGAGAGGAAATATAGGCTGTGCAAGTTCTAAATATAAGAAAAATATAGGAGTTTCTCCCAAAAATATATGCACTTTATAGGAGCTAAAATCGCTTTTCAGTGGCGTAACCAGGGATCTTGCAGGGAGGGTGCACAGGCAATGATTTATTTGCAGAACCAAATAAGCCATAAAAAAGACAGAACAAAAAAAAACAAAAAAAAAAAAACTCCCAATATGCTAAACAGTGTAAAATGTAAATGTATCACTCAGCAGTCGTCCTATTTATAGGAAATATAGGAGGTTTTCTTTAAATATAGGCTCTTTATAGGATCCTATACAAATTATAGGAAATATAGGATATATAGGGGGTCTGGGATGCCTGACATTTATATATGAGAAAAAGCATTTACCATGTTTAAGGCCAGAATTATGACAATAATTATTTCTAGTTTCTTTAGCTCTACTTTCTAGGAAAGATAACAGAAGAATGTTTTTTCAAGTATACTACAAATATCTAAAATATTCGCATTTATGTCGTTAGTGCAGACTGCTTAATGCAACAAACGGAAGTGATTTTCGCAACCGGAACTCCTATTTTACATAATACTTCCGGTTACCGTGTACCGGAAGTCTCGAGTTCAATTTAATGTGGTGTGTAGTTTCAGCGAAACGGAAGCCCTATATCTCAYAATACTTCCGGTAACTATATACCGGAAGTCCGAATTGTACTCGGCCTTGTGTTCTTTTTTGTGATCCTTTTGAACATCTATTTCGCGGACATTCATTGGTTGATGACGTTTTAATGAGAAAGGAGACATCTATTAGGTCTTTTCCCTCGACTATGATTATCAATTTTTACATATTGGAAAACTAATGTATATCTATGTATATTTGTATGTAATTAATTCACGTGTCGAGAGTGACTCATACCGAAGCCACCACTACCATTAAATGGCCGCTATCAACTGCGCTGTCTAGKAGGTCTGGGGATACTCGTGCCAGGTGCTCTTGAGCGAAATCACAGGGTGGGAAAATATGCAGAACATAGCTTGGCTGAAAAAGAAAATAGGAATAATGACATAAGAACAGAACACATTAAAAACCCTGGATTATCTCTGCGTCCAAAAAGCGGGAAATTAGTTACGCTTTTTCAATCGTGCCCCATTCTCGTACCCAGACCCTTGTCAGCGAAAAATCGATTGAGAGGGTTTTGGGTACGAGAATGATCGAGATTAATGCTTAGCATTAGCTTTGAGTTTCGTATAATTTCAAGTTGTTTGTATGGATAGTTGTGTATTCTTCACTTTACTGTTTGTATTTGTGAATATTTGCACACTGATATTAGGCTAACCCTGAGTAAATGAGTAATCAAGGAACATAGCGGTAATTTGGGAACTCGAAGTTGAAGTATCTTTCTGATAGCACTGAGCGCTGATAAATTAAAGACTGTAGAACGAACCTGTGCACTGCCTGGCCTGGCAACATTAATAATCCCGGCCGCTTGTTTCTGTTGTAAGTAGGTGATGAAGCCATTCTTGAGTGCGCGTGTCTGTGCGTGTACGTCTAGTGGATCTCTCCCACATGGTAAAGCCAGTAACAGACAATGGTCATTCTTGCTCTGAAAGAATAAGATTGAGAACTTCATTAATTGAACAAGTCCTACTTCCAGCTTTTATCCGGGCTCTCCGGTTTTCTACCCTCCGCRAAAATCAGCTTCTGAATTCTAATTTCATCAAGGAATGAGTACCTCAAGTTTGTTAGCCCGTGCATATTTGGGAYTTTAAGATTTGCAAAATCTGCGACGGCGACGTCAACCGGAAGTGTAAATAACTTCACTTTGGGGTTTCGAGTCTTTAAAATCTRTCTTCCCTGTGGATGAGTTGACTTTACTGACAATGTTTTGAATGAAATCTCCGATGAACAGAACCCCAAAGAGAAATTATTTACACTTCCGGTTGACGTAGCCGTCGTAGATTTTGCAAATTTTAAAGTCTGAATTTCCCAGTGAAGACGTRCACTCTTATGCTTATGCTTATGTRMTGGTGAGGACCTGGCWTTAAGCTGCACTAGATAGATTTTCACAACACCTTTACCTGCATTCGTCGTACGACACCCTCCAGCTGYGAAGGCTCCAGTYTCATCCGTTGAGCGATACGTAAAGGAGGTGGAACAGCCCCGACACCAGTCACAGGAGCTTGAGGCAACGACACCTCGGCCAGACGGGAATTCCCCGATAGGTAATGCATCTGCACGGCAGCCGTGTCATTCTTGAGCGCTACAAGACCCTGCCATACCACGGGATACCGACACAGGAGCTCTAGTAGGGTATCAGCGTTGGGTGGTTGGGCGGAGGGAGGGGCTTGGTTGTATGGCTGGTGGGGTGGTGCTGACGGTGGTGAGGGTACCATATGTGAACCGGGATGAGCCTCAATTTGTGGTACCGGCGAAGCAGTAGCTATCGGTGGCGTCGATATAATTCCCGAAGTAAGAGGAATCTTGCTACTCGGTAGTACAGGGGAAGTAGCTATCGGGGTTCTACTAAGTGGAGAGATATCGTAGGGCGTGTCGTTACGTACCGGAGATGGCCCGACACCATCGAATGGAAGGCATGTGATAGGCGTGTTGTCCAGGGGAACAGCTTCCTCAGGGGGAGGGGGTGGAGGTGGCGGCGGTGGGGGAGGCGGAGGGGACTCTTCGGGGGGGGGGGGGGGGGCGGCGGTGGGGGAGGCGGAGGGGACTCTTCGATAGATTGTCGTCTTCTCTTAGTTTTTCCATTTTCTACATCATTCAGTTCTCTTCTTTTTTCTTCTCGATAAGACTTTCTTGGTGATCTAGCTGGTTCTCGTTCTCGTTCTTCCCTTGATATCCTTCGTTTTGGTTTGTTGTTTTCACTAGTTGTCTTCTCCTCGTTGTCTGAACTACCRTCTTTATTATTCTCTAACCGACTGACCTCTGCCTGTTCTGTTTTGACAGCTACTTTAGGATACTCTTCGTCTCTTCCCTCAGACTTGTCTTCTCTAACCTCTAGTCGTTCAACTGTCGTCACTGCTTCCTCTTTCYCTCTACTTTTCGTTTCCTCTGGGGGAGGGGGTGGTGTTCGTACTCGTTTTGGTTTCTTCCGCTTGTCTTTTTCTTTCTTCTCTTTCTTTTCTTTCTTTTTCTTCTCGGGAGGTGCTTCTTCTGGCGCAGGTGCACGTGGTTCTTCTTCCATCTTTATTCGTGCTCTTTCTGTGCTTCTATCTCTTGTTTTTTTCTCATCATGTTCAGCACGGTGTGATGGATAATCCTTCCTGTGTTCCGCCACTTCAAGCCTTACTTCTCCATCTCCTTTAGACCTCTTTCTTCTCTTATGACTATCTTCTTCTTCCTCCTCCTCCTCCCGTTCTTCAGAATGCTTCAGCCTTCGTTTCTTCTTTTCCCGTGACTTCCCGCGAAGTCTCTCRTCTCGTTCGTTCACYTCCGGCTTATTTTCAGGCGACGAAGCTGCTTCCCGTTCCTCGCTGTAATCATTCCGGTCACGTTTTTCCGCGTAGTCCTGGTGCCTACGACGATGTTCACGTGGTTCTTCCTCAAAAGAGCCYGAGCTACTTCCATCTGCAGGCCAGCGGCTGTGTCTAGCAGGGTAGTACTGTTCACTGTCGCTATACTCTCCTTCATGACGCTCCCTGTGGGGTCTCTCTCGGCGGTCCTCCTTCTCCCGCTCTCTCTCCCTCTCGCGCTGCCTTCTTGAGTTATAYTCTTTGAGTTCCTGATCGTAATCATCGCCCTCGTACTCTCGTCCTCCTTCGTATGGTCCTCGGTTTCTTTGGTGCTGATCTTGGTGGTACCACCCACCCCCTCCCCCTCCTCCCTCAGTACCATAATTGTCATACTCCATGCGCTGATGCCAGGGTCTGTAACCCCTAGAGTCTCGCCTCATGCCTCCTCGCATGGCACCTCGGTTGCCACGTCTGTAGTCATTGTACCCTGTTGCACTTCCTCGGCCACGTGAGCGGTCAGGGGGGGACATGTCGTAGCGACGAGAGCTACCCGTACTCTCGGTTTGACCGACTCTTTGTAAGTTGTCGTAGAAGAGTTGACGACTGTCTCTACTAACCATCTCCACCTGAAACAGAAAGAATGATTTGAATAAATAGATATTTTGGACGCAAAGAATGTTGATGTCTTAGGGCTAATCTTAAGAAGGAAAGAAAAAAGCATGCGGAAAAAAAAAAAAAAAAAAGAAAGGAAAGAGACCTAAATAGACCACAGGTAGCCCAAGCTTGGTTTCTGTTATAAGGAACCGCATGGTGATTCTTCAAAAATTTCAATAAAATCATTGAAATGTGAAATAAAGCCTCGACATTTTACCTGATCATTGAGAAAGAGCACTTCTTTCGCTCTGTGTGGTTATTTTTTGAATTTAGCCCATTTTAAGGATTCTTTCCCCCACCAGTAAAGACAAAGACCGAAGAGGAAATGCCGCTCTTTGTTTAACGGTTGCATATGAGGAGACATGAATATGGATACACTCAAACAAAGAATCTTATTCTCTAAGGGATTACAAGTGGACATGAATTAGGTTTATTAGGTCCCTCCATGCCCTATTACAACCTACCCTGACGCGTCTTCCAAACAGATTCCTTCCTTTCATCTGTGCAATACTAGCAGACTCCACACCATCGAAGCTGATTAAAGCTTGACTCGTCATTCGATTGATGACCACACGAGTGACACGCCCATATCGACTGAAGTGTCTGTCTAGCTGCTGCTCGCTAAGACTGACAGTAACACCACCTACCCATATGGTATTGATAGGAGCTACTTTACCAAAACCAACCTAGGATATTATTAAGATATTATTAGGATATTATCTATTAATAACAAAATTATGAAACAATTCATCTGGGAGGATCTAAGTYAGGGCATGGCTAACTCACTGATCGATACCCTGAAACAACCTCTGGGCTGATCTTAGTCAGGGCACGGCTAACTTATTGATCGATACCCTGAAACAACCTCTGGGCTGATCTTAGTCAGG